ACACACACACTTGCACAAATACGGGCGTGAACACGCCCGTGCTGATTCGCATTTGCTCGCTGATGTTGCACTCATTCAAGTGTGAATTGTTTGCATCGATTCACTCGTTCCTAATGACATGCAGAGGAGGTATGGGAGCAACACGCTGTACGCGAGCGAGCTGCTTGCAATGCTGCTGCAACAGAGCGAGAAGACCAAAGAGAAGTTTGGCAAGATTGATGGCATTGACGCGCTGCTGCAGGTGAGCCGGTGGTGCGGAAGTTAATGGTACTATGAGCGTTCATTGCGTGACAGGCTGGGGCTACTACACACTCACTCACACACTCACACACGCACACTCACACACACTCACACACACACCTTATGTACATGTACACACATGTACACAACTGAATCAAACGTGAGCAGACGCTTGCGCGGTACCGGAAGATGGATCCGGCCTCCGACGAAGAAGCGGAATGCATGGAGAACATCTTCGATTCGCTCTGCTCGGCCATCCTCCTTGAAGGTGACTCGCACACACACACACACACACACACACATGCACAAGGCGACATAACACTTTGCCTAACTATCCTTGCTCGTGTATGCGCGTGTGCGCCCTGCCTTACCTGCACATTCGTTCACGTGTGTTTGCCCTTATATGCGTTGGTGCGTGCGTGTGCCCATTCCAGCGAACAAGGCGCGATTCATGGAGGCGGAGGGCGTTGAGCTGATGGTTCGCCTGCTTCGGCAGCGGAAACTCAGCCGCTTCGGCGCACTTAAGGTGCACCCTTGCTAAAATGGTGCAGCTGTGTGTGTGTGTGTGTGTGTGCGCGCGCGCGTGCGTGTGTGCGTGTGTTGGAGAGACACACGGAAGCACACAAACACACACACACTCTCTCTCTCCCTCTCTCTGTCTGTCTGTGAAGTCAACAGTAAGACGTTTGTGATTTGGGTAGCTTAAATGGCGCGAGACCTCATGCTGTATCATGCACGTGGCTGTTTCAGGTTGTTGATTTCATCACGACGGAAGGGGAGTACAGCCGTCGCGCTGCCGACATTTTCCTGGAGCAGTTGGGCCTGGCGGTAAGCGACAATGCACACTCACTCCCACACGTACATTGCGCGAGGGGTTGCCCCCTGTCACTTGCATGGGCTCGATATCGCTGCTTTGTCGATGTGGTTGTCGCCCTCGTCACCACGCCTGTACCACCAAATCCCGCGCTTGTACACTCACACGCCGGGTGCGACTGCTGCACGTGTCCACGCACGTGTCTGGGTACAATTTATCGGATGTACAGGCACTCTTTCCGCTACTCATGAAGATTCCGAAAATGAAGAAGTTCGCGACATACAAGGGCAGCGAGGTGCGTGGACAAGAACCACAAGACATGCACCCAACTTGTTAGGCACATGCGCACATCATGTACACACACACACACAGGCGCACACACACACACAAAGCACAACATGCGTGCACCCGTGCCAATCACCATCTCACAGTGGATGTCGTCATCATCATCAACATCACCACCACACAGGGCAAGCTGGAGGAGCATGTTGTGTCACTGCTGGCGTCGCTGCTGCGAGAACTGCGGGTGAGCTGATTGTGTTTGTGCTCTTTCTCCGATTTCTGCTTGCACTGTGCGGGCATTCGTGAGCCCCTTCCCGCCTGTCCACTCGCGTAATGTTCCCCTCTTTGACTTCTGCATGTGTGTGTGTGTGTGTGTGTGCAGGACACGGATCGCCCACGACAGCGCATCCTTGCCAAGTTTGTGGAGAAGAACTTTGAAAAATGTGTGCGTCTGGCCGAGTTACATGAACAACACAGTCAGCTGGTAAGTGAAGCCAGCAACCTGTGCCAGTGATTGTGCTAAGCGCTCGCTTCTATCATGCACTCGCACTTGCACATGCGCCCGTGCGCGTTTGGGTCCATGGCTGCTCATGGTGATACTTTCTTCCCTCCCGCCACTGCAGCTGCAGAGGTGTGAGCGCCAACTCGAGGCCGAACGAGAGCATGCACGCGCACAGGATGAAGTCATCGACGAGGTGTGTGTGTTTGTTTGTGTGTGTGTGTGTCTGTCTGTCTGTCTGTCTGTATGTATGTACGTATGTATGTATGTCTGCGTATGTGTGTGCCTGCGTACGCGTGTATCGGTGTGTGGCTGTGTGTGTCTGTGTCTGTGCCTGTGTGTGTGTGTGTGTATCTATGTGTGTTTGTGTTTGTGCATACGTGTAATTCTCACGGCAACCTTGACACGTGTGGTGGGAATGCACAGGAGTATGAAAACGAAGAATATCTTGACCGCCTCGACAATGGCCTGACCATGCTGCAATATGTCGATTACGTCGTGGCGGAAGTGGTCGATGGCCTTGGTGATGAGGTGCGTGGTTCCACACTCGTGCATGTGTGTGTCTGTGTGTCTGTGTTCGTGTGTTCGTGTGTTTGTGTGCTTCGCTCTCTTCACGGTTTTAGTTTGCGCTGCTTCTATTTTTTCTTGTCTCATACGTGTTTGCGTGCGCTTGTGTTTGCAGATGCGCTCTGAGATGATTCGCATCTTCAAGCTCAAGCGAGCAAACTTTGAAGAAGTCAAAACCATCCTCGAAGGTGTGTGTGTGTGTGTGTGTGATTGTGCCGTGGGAGCCTTTGGGCTGAGCTTTGGCCGATCAAATGTGAAACCACTCTCCTTCCCCTTCACTTTCTCAACCAACTACGGTGCGCATTGTGTTTTGTTGTGACAGACTACGCGGAGAACACAGGCGAGGCTGACAAGGAAGGCACTTTTGGCCATCGTCTGCTGCAGCTGGCGCGCACAGTCGTTGGACAGCACAGCAGCGAGCCTGAACCGCAAACATCCGCAACACCAGAAGCCAAGAAGGAACCATCTGACAAGTAGTGTGTGTGTGTGTGTGTGTCTGTGCGTCTGTGTGTCTGTGTGTGTGTGTGTGTGTGTGTGTGTGTGGTGTAACAAAATCCGGACATTGCCGTTTTGTCATTTTGGCGGGAAAATGAACCTTCCGATATGAATCAAGTTGTTCAAGGCAAACCCTCTTTGGACACTCAAAGACTGCAGCAATGTTCCCGCGAAACCAAAACGCACACATACACACACACGCACAAACGCACGCACCAAGACCACGTTCACGTACGCAGACAGCATGGCCATGCCATTCATTCAACACACGGCAATCGCGAATGTGCACGCAGAAGCAAGCAATCTCGGCCAGCTTCAGTTCCCCGCCATTCTCCACTCACGACATCTCAGCCCGCACCAGCATCTGCACCCACCACTTCGATAGCCGGCGATGACCACCGTGGCCCGAGCTACCGTGTCGCTGCTGTTGCAGCACGACGCGACAGTCAAGATGCTGGTTGTGCGCCTCATGCACGACTTCATAGGTTTGCCCAGACTGCGAGACTTATTGTTGTGAGCCATTGCAGTGTAGGCACGTCGTCTGTTTGGCCTTCGTTCAACTTGGTGTTCTGGTGTTGTTGCTGTGCACACGTCATGAGGGAGGATGCGATGTGAGCTTTGTCCCCTGCGTGCTGTTGAAACATCACACGGCACTTCTCACTCCGTGACTGAATGTGTTGCATCGCAGTGACGTTTGACTTCGTCGAGACTGAAGACCCGAGATGGGAAAGGCTGTGCGCGGCAGTCGACAAGCTGAGGTCATCCTCGGACGAGTTCGCGCACTGCTGCATGCACTCAGCAGTGGGCAACGAGCACAGGTTTGCGCACCCATCGTTCAGCCCAGTCTGCGTGTGCTACGCAGCGCGGGTGAACACGCTGCACATTCGCACAACCGAGCCCTTGTTTAAGCCGCAGGAGCTTTCAGGGCTTCTCAACCTTCTCCATCTTGCACTCTTGCCTGTCTTCCTTCCCACAGGCAGCAAGGTATGAGCTACAGCTCTGCCGACTCTCGGTTTGAAGTACATATTGTCGTGTTTCGCTCTGAAGGGTACCACTGACGTGACACACCTCGGCTCAGGACACCCATCTTCACTCACACACACACACATCACACACGCACACACACGCACACATCACACACGCACACACACACACACTCTCTCTCTCTCTTTTCGGGCTTGCAGGACGTGCCGCTGTTGATGACAACAGCTGGTGGCACGGCACCATCCCAGACGCTCAGCACCCTCCACATGTACGAGCTCGCTCGAGCACAGTCCAGGAACGGATGCCTGGGACGCACATGATTGAGCAAGCACAACTTGCAGCGAACGACAGATCGCACACCTCGCCACCCACAACATGACATTGGAACATTCAATCTGGACTCACAGCCAGTCTTGCCTGTCTGTTTGCCTGGTTGCCTTGTCTGTCGATGGTTACAGGCGAGCAGACCCGAACATCTTCATCGAGTAAGTCGTTTCCACTCAAGACATGAGAGGCACGATTCATGCTCAACACAACTTGTTTTCCAACCCGCTCGGCCATACTGGTGTCACCTCCTCAAATCTCGAGATAGCGAGATCCACAATATCATGGTGTACACATCATTGCCGTGTTCTCCGTGTGATGTATGTGTTTGGTGGTACAGATCCATTGCAGGTGTTGTGGCCGCTGAGTGCGTGCTTGAGCGGCAAGTAACTCAGCACGTGCTACCCTTTGCCAAGCTCTCCGTCGGGTTTGCGCTGGTTCGCCGCGCTCCATGGGCGTCCGGCGCCATTCTCACCGACACCCACTCGGTAAGCAAACGCCACTGTGTATGTGTGTGTGTGTATGTATGTGTATGTGTGTGTCTTAACTTCTTGAGCAGTGCTAGTGGTGCCTGTGGTGTCTGCTCGCGGATGTTCACAGAAGCTCATGCCAACACGATCGCTCACGACTCTGCTTTACTGGCCTTGCCTCCTTGCGGTCTGAATAGGTGATTGTGCATACGATGTACGAGGGGTCACCGTTGTCCGATTCGTCAAGCCAGCAGCGCGATTGGATACAACGTGTGCTGGAAAACATGTGGACTGCTTCCGCTCGAGGTACGCAGAGGCGTCTTGAATGGGATGGAGGGATGGGGACACAAGTGATGTCTGTCGGATGGACGAAGTATGAGAAAACAGGAGATGGAGTTGTGTTTGGTTGGGAAGTTGGGTCAACAAGGCCAAGCCATGAAGCAAGCACGCACGTGGGGTGCATCCAAATCCACAACGCATCTACAGACAGACACACACATACACACAAACACACACACATACACACAAACACACTTGCACATGCATTCATTGTTGCTGGCGCGTGTTCCTGTGCACTGGCTGGTTGTCCCCTCTCACCTTGCTGCATATTCAATTCAGGCATGAAAACCAAAGGCGTTGGTGTCCCCGCGCTGCGCAAAGAGGGGGAGCTGTTCGTGGGTAACCTGCAACTGCCAGAGATTGTCACCAAGTGGATCGAGCAGCGGTTTCCGCGGTGTCAGGCCCATGCACAGATGCACGAGTATGTGTGGGTGCTGACGCTCTTGTTCTTCCAACCTCCAAGAACAACTGCCGCCGTTCCGCCCCAGGACCTGTCATTGATGGCCCACCTTGATTCACCCCACATCAGGGATGCGGTTGTGGCTCGCGCGAGAGAGATCCGTACACGCATCGTCCCAGATATGCTGCTCACAGACGTATGTCGTGGGTATCTTGGACGACACACGGGCTTGCATCGCGTGTTGTGTGTGCGTGTGTGTGCGTTTTGCTTGTCCACGGAGACTTTGGTGAAGTATTGATGCAGTTTGCCCTGCAGTCATGCAGTACATCTGTTTGCACATGCATGTGCACACTAGGTCACTCACGCGCACTTGGTCACTCACCCGCACAATCACACTCACATTAACACACACTCACACACACACACACACACACACACACACACACACACACACACGCCATGCCGCTGTTGCTTGGTGCTGTGAATTGCGCAGGGGCTCATGTGCATTGCACGCAGTCTCAACGACGTGTTGGCCACCATGAATCCTGGGTCGCGCACGGGGTATCTTCGACACCTGCTTGTCAGCACAACCACCCCAAGCAGCCGCCTTGCACCAACGCCATCGCCCGCGGCTGGCCTTCAGACAGCGTTGCTTGCAGCTTTGCAGCAAGTCTACTCGCGGGCGCCTGGCAATCCAGCACAACAGCAACAACCACAGGCCGCCGTGCAACCGCGTCCATTGCACAGTGAGTTGTTTGTGGCGTATCTGTGTCCTGATGGTCAGCCAGAGCCATGGTCCTGTCCGGTTGTTGGTGTTGCATCAAGCACTCACGCCGTCTGTCGAATGCTTTTCGTGCACTTTAGCCGTGCTAGCCCGTGGCACCAGCGTGGCCGATAGTGCCGGCTCCAGATCGGCCACAGCACCCACGCAGGCACCTGTGACTTTCGTGGAGGTAAAGCAGCAAGTGGAGCAGGCGCTGCAAGTGCAACAGACACAGCAGGTGCAGCAGGTGCAGCAGCCACCACAGCCAACACAGCGGACACAGCAAGTACAGCGGCCACAGCAACATGTGCAGCAAGGCACACCGAAAGATATCAACGCCAAGAGGAAGAAGCGCGACGACCCCGAGGACAGCTCGTCGCTCAGGGAATGGCAAAACGAGATTGCCCAGGACGACGACGATGACGCCGATGAATGTGCTGATTTGCTTGACACAACGCTCCCTGGGCTCGAGAGCGAGGACGAGGAAGACTGAGGAAGACTGAGGAAGGAGAGACAATGGGAGGAAGATTGGGAAGCTTGCAGTAGTGCTCTTGTAGTCTTAAAGTCTTGTTCTTGTGTGATGTGATCTTTGTATCTTTGCAGCGGGTTTGCTCGTAGGTGTTTTTGAATTTCGCGCGCGGTTCTCCGGGACGCATTGTGTGGTGTCTGGTGTATCCACCACACCAATAAACGCTGAGTCAGCATTTTACATCGACAGTTACGACCAACCAAACCAAAGTCCTTCCGCACTCGTGCTGCACACACCAGCACATGGCTGCTAAGATGATGGCTGGCTGGAAGTCGCACAGTCGCAGAGTCGCGGCTGCGAGGCGTGTGCGTGGCTCATTTACAAATTGACGAATCAAGACGAAGAACAAGAATCCCCGACAAACAAGCAAGCAAAGCAAGCCTTTCACCAACGCCATCGTAGCGTGGTTTTGATGACCCCAAATGCAGAGAACAAGAACAAGTAAGCAAGAAGAAGTCCACGTCCTCGCCGACACCTCGCGCCGAGCCCCTGCGGCAACCGCCCCTGATCCTCGGGGCGACACCGCAGCGGCCAAGCAGACGCCGAGCACCCCTTGTTGGGACCCGAACAGCAGCGAGTCGAGCCACAACGCCAGCCACGCCGACGCCGCTACCCTCAAGCAGGAGCAGCATGATGTCCCCGATGTGGAGACACACAAGCAAGATGGCGACTCCGTCGTGCCTGCTGGCACTGGCCATGATCCAGTGCAGATCATTGACACCTTCGACGACATGAACTTGAGCATGGAACTCCTCCGTGGCGTGTATGCTTATGGCTACGAAGCACCCACAGCCATCCAGCAGCGTGCCATTGTCCCCATCTCCAGTGGACGCGACATTGTACGCTGCGCGCGCGTGTGGATGCGTGTGTGGCATGTCTGTTGTGTGGCTTGTTTGTTGTGGATGTGCTTGGCGTGTCTGTTGTGGATGTGCCTGGCATTTGTTGTAGTGCGCTTGCCGATGACTGAAGTAAGGAAGTACATGCCCTGGCTCACCTTCCTCCACCTTGACTCTTGTGTGTGACAAATGCCAGATTGTGCAGGCTCCGTCCGGCATGGGAAAGACGGCCACGTTTTCCATCGGCTCTCTGCAGCGCGTGGACACGACGCTGCCTTCGTGCCAGCTGCTGGTCCTGTCCCCGACGCGTGAGCTCGCCATTCAGACCGCCGACGCTTGCCAGTCGCTGGGCTCCTACGTGGGCGTGCGCGTGCTGCCACTGATTGGCGGCCAGAGCGTGCGTGACCAGCGCACCGCCCTGCGCGAAGACGGCATACACGTGGTGTGTGGCACCCCAGGACGTGTGAAGCACATGCTCAGCGACGACAGCCTCGACTGCCGCCAGCTCACCACCATCGTCCTTGACGAGGCAGACGAGCTCCTCGAATACTTCCAGGACGACATCTATGACGTGTTCCAGTTTGTGCCCCGCGATGCACAGGTCGTCCTGGTCACCGCCACCACCACAGACGTCCTCCTCAAGGTGAGAAAACACAGAGGCGAAGTACATCAAAAACACACGTACACGTGTTGTTGTGCTCCTCAATGTAGTGTTGTGCATGCATGCCTCATCCTCACACATGCATGTCACTGCACAGTGTACATGTGTGCCCGCTTACCATCACCAACCACTCACATCCCTCCATCGCCATTGCATTCTCCACCACCGCATTCCTCCACACTAACCGCCACCGCCATCATACTCCACCCCCACCATCATCACCATCATCATAACAGATTTCCAAGAAGGTTCTGCGCAACCCCGTGAACATCCTGGTGAAGCCGGAAGAGCTGCGACTGGAAGGCATTCAGCACTTCTTTGTTGACGTGCAGCAGCACCTGCACAAGTACCCGACGCTGTGCGACCTCTACAACTCCCTCAACACGGCGCAGACGGTGGTGTTTGTCAACCGGCGCCGCACAGCGCTTGAGCTGGAGGACCGCCTCGTCCGCGACAAGTTTGCCGTCTCCGTCATCCATGGCGAGATGGAGCAGGACGAGCGCATCGCCACGCTCGACCGCTTCCGCTCGGGCCAGAGCCGCGTGCTGGTGGCCACAAACGTTGTTGCACGCGGCATTGACGTGCAGCAGGTGTCGCTCGTGATCAACTACGACGTACCGCTGGACCGCGAGAGCTACATCCACCGTGCTGGCCGTGGCGGGCGCCAGGGCCGCAAGGGCGTCACCATCAACCTGGTCACGCAGGAGGATGCGCGCTTCCTGCGCGACATTGAGTCCTTCTACAGCATCGCCATCAACGAGCTCCCCGCCGACCTCTCCATCCTGCAGCTCTGACCAGAGAGCGGGCTGAGTTGTGCTTGTGGATGTGCTGTACATGTGTTGTTTGTGATGCTGCTGAGAAACGAGCAAGCTCAACGTGTGCTTTGTGTGGCATTGTGTTGTGCGTGTCTGTATGTGGCGTTGTGTTGCGTTTCTTCCCTACCGAGTGAGGCTGAGGTGTTGTTTTGTTCCTTAAGGTGTGTGTGTGTGTGTGATGCTGAGTTGTTCATGTACTCTGTTCCTGTCCTTTCTTCCTCCTAATTGCGAGTGAGCGCTCCGTCTCCACAAGGCTCCAAGAGTACACAGCAGTTGACATGAATGTCAAAAGTTGAGGGAGGAGTGGAAATCCTTCAAGCACACAAACCCACGGCGGGAATGCACGAACAACAACAAGACGAAAGACGATGTGGCTGGTGGTGGTGCTGGTGGCGGTGATGTTGAGTTGGGGGTCTGTGTGTTGTTGCTCTGCGCCCCAGCCCATGTTAGACCTCTCATCCTTCCACGGCAAGCTTCCCATGTATGGGCAAGGGAAGCCAGACGCACCACCCGCCGTCCTGTTCTTCTGTCCACACAAGACAGGTTGTGTGTGATGTGTGCACGTGTGATGAATGTGTGTGTGTGTGTGATGAGAATGTGTGTGATGTATGTGCATGTGTGTGTGTGTGCGTGTGTGTGCATGTGTGTACGCATGCGTTGTATGTGGATATGTGCACCTGCGTACGTACATACGCTGCTCTCTTGTTCTCCGTCCTCCACGTCCTCTGTTTGGCTGCTTTTGCTGCTGATCTCACCAATCCTGTCATCGCTCACCCTCTCATACCTGTGCGCTGCCTCACATCAATCCGCCTCCCTCCTCCCAACAAAGGGTCTGTTTTCGTGGAGCGGCTGCTGCAAGCTGTCAGGGACGTGTCACATCAGTGCCACTTTCGCATCGACCATTATGCTGGGTGAGACGTGAGCTGTGACACACGCAGCGTGTCCTGTCTTGTGTGTCTCTTTCATGTCTGTTTGTTTGTTTTTGTTTGTTTGTTTGTTTGTGTGTGTGTGTGTGTGTGTGTGTGTGTGTGTGTGTGTGTGTGTGTGTGTGTGTGTGTGTGTGTGTGTGTGTGTGTGTTTGTGTTTGTTCGCGTGCCGGCTGCCTCACCGCCTTTCTCTTACCCTTTGGGTTTTACACTCACACACACCACACACACACACACACACACACACCCACCCGAACCCACACTCACGCACTCACTCGCTTACAGGAAGGTGTCTTGCGCCACATACTCAAAGTGAGTGCTTGGCTGCGATTGTGTTTGCGACCGCCGTTGCATTCCCACGTTGGTTTTTGTTTTGTATCACATCACCGACCCCTTACCCTGCTGGATATTGCTGTAGGTGCACGGAGAAGGGTAAGGCTCCTGCTTTCGCGTCGGGGTTGGATGTCGAGCCGTTGTGCACCACTTGGACCTTGAAGCTCTTGCAGGCGGCTGCGGACCCAGACGCATCTTCTCCACCGTGCGTGCCTCGTTCGCGGTTGCGTTGCTCGCACATGTGCCTGATTGCCGTGCCATTCCAGTGCAATCGCTCCTGCTGTAGCCGCCCCTTCCTTCGCGTGTGCTCCTCGCGTTATTATTGCATTGCTCGCCTTCCCATTCACTCTCAACCACACCCCCTCCTTCCTGCAGAGAGCGGGCGCCGCTGCTGAAACACGGGTTCATGTGGGGCCCCATTCGCCAATCCCTTGATGCATCCGCTGTACTGGACCTCGCAGGCAACGTGTGTGTGTGTGTGCGTGTGTGCGCGCGCGTGTGTGTGTGTGCGCGTGTGTGTGTGTGTGTCGTGTGTTGAGCGAATGCGATTGCAGCCTATGCTTTCTTTGTGAACGCATGTCTTCGTGTGTGCTTGCTCATTTTCCCCTCGCTCTTGTGACTGCCCTGCCGCCCATGCTTCACGCGTGTCACTGGCAGTTGAGACTTACGGGCTTCAGGCCAGCGCTCATCTTCCACCGCCGCCACCCACTGGTTCGTCCAGCTCACACACCACGATTGCACTCACGCAGCTATGTGTGTGTGTGTGTGTGCGCGCGCGCGCGTGTGTGTGTGTGCTTGTGTGTGCTTGTGTGTGTGTGTGTGTGTGTGAGTGTTATTACTTCGCTGGTACGATGTTGTTGCTGTGTGTTCATGTCATTGCTCACTACTCTCTCCTCCCATTTCTCAATTCTGGTCAGGACCAGCTTGTTTCTGAGTATCACTCGTTTGGATTCCAGCACCCGCCCCCAATCCAAGCTAGCGAAGAGGCACTTGAGCGGGTACTAGAGCCAGCCACACACGCATCAGCCGCTGCGATGACAACACTACACGTGGTACCGCTTCACCGTCCTCCCGTGTCTCACGGCACACACACGCACACGCACACGCACACGCACACGCACACGCACACGCACACACTCTCTTTAGTTTCACGCGATGAGGCAGCGCATTCAGACAATGACCATCGACGAGTATGTGCAGGAGCAGCTGCAGTCTGAGGAGTGGTGGCGCGTGCGATATGGCGCGCTCTTGCACGCACTTCGTTCGCCAGCGTTGCTGGATCATATTCAGGTGAACGAGGAATTGGGAGTGGGAGTGGGTCGTCTGTTTTCCAACTCGTCATCGTTCTTGCTGTTGCGCCGTCTGTCCTGTGTACGGTGCTGATGCTTCATGCTCTTTTTCTTATTATTGTTGTTGTTCTTCTTCTCTTGTTGATCTTCTTGTCCTTGTCCTTGTTGTTTCTCGCCTGTCCGCGATCTTGGCCACGGCTTTGCTGACCAGGTGGTGCACTCCAAATACGAGGACATGGTGCTGCACTTTCGCCAGTGGCTGGTGTCCATCCTTTCCGTGTTTACAGCATGGGACGACGCACACCGAAATCAGGTGAGCCTCTTGCCCCTTCTCCGTGCCACTTGACATGTCTCTCACACACAGAGTTGCACACACACACACTTGCACACTCACACACACTTGCACACTCACACACGCGCACACATGCACACTCACACACACACACATACATACTCACACACGCACACACACACACACACACACACACACACACACACACACACACACACACACACACACACACACACACACACACACACACACACACACACACACACACACACACACACACACACAACACACACACACACACATCCACCACCACCCCCCCCCCCCCACACGCCTCACGCGTTTGTTCAGGTGGCCGAGGAACTTGAGCTACAGTTTGCAGAGTCGTTCAAGCCAGACGGACGGCACAAGCACCGCGTGTGGCCAGGCAAGTGGGTGGTGCATCACCTTGTTCATTTGTTTATTTCAGGACACAGAATACAACACCAAACCCACGCTTGTGTGTGTGTCACATCATGCCACATCATCCAGTTCCCAAACGCGTATGCTTCCACACAAATGTGTCCTTTTCAACACAGCAATCGCCACTCACATCTCACAATCTTCTTTCTTTGGTGTTGCAGGTGCATATCGACGAGAGCTGTCTGCTGCGACAATACAGGTCGCCAACACCACGCACCAGCACCTCTTTGCGTTGCTCCAGTACACGCTGCTTCCTCCCTACGCTGACAAGCCGTCCCAAGACACGGCGTTCAGCCGCACCAACAGCAACAGTAACAGTAACAGCAACAAGCGCACTGGTGCTGCCCGGCCAACCATTCGCCGGCACCACATCCACTTTGGCAGATAGCTCACACCCCTCACTCACTCGTAGGCTTGTGCTGTGACTGCATCATGGTGAGGTGATATGCGGCAATGATGCTGGCGATGATAGGTTTGGCGGCTTAGAAGACAGAGAACACCAAGTAAACGCACAGAAGAATAAACCCATTGAAGAACAAGCACTCGAGCACGTGGATGGTGGTGGCAGGAGGAAGAGAGAGAGAAGGCAGGCTGTACACAAGTCCACACACTCACACATACACACGCACACATAGACACAACACACACAGCAAAGCGCACACGCGCACACACATCGACACAACACGCACACAACGCACACAAACAAACGAGCAACAGCTGCCGTGCTTGCCAACCACAAAACAAATCGGCGCAAACGAGCAGGAAGGACAACTTGTGACAAGCGGTGATGACATCCCCATCAACACAGCAGTCGACGGCGCGCACCAAACACAGGTTGGGCTGTTGTAGGATGAGACATGGGGACGTGTGCATGCCTTGATGCTCCTCTGTGTGGTCGGACCACACGCACGTACTCATTGGCGCCTCGCATGTGTGTGTGTGTGTGTGTGTGTGTGTGTGTGTGTGTGTGTGTGTGTGTGTGTGTGTGTGTGTGTGTGTGTGTGTGTGTGTGTGTGTCTGTGTGTGTGTGTTCTGCAGCATCTGGGATGTCACCAACGAGGACGTGTTTGAGGTCAGCTCCAGTCCATGCAGATGAAGGCAGACACGCACTCACAGACAGACACAGACAGACACAGACAGACAGACACAGACAGACACAGACAGACACACTTACACACAGACACGCAGACACACACACACACACACACACACAATCTCTGCTTTTGCACGTCTCACGTTGCGCTTCATCCTGTCCAGTATGGCCGCCTGTCTCAAGATGCTCCCCGTCGAGGTGCCCTCGCGCTTCAGCTGCAGAATGCACTCGAGCATGCACAGGTGTGTTGATCCGACACCCCACATGCACCACGTACGCGACACTGCTTTTCCATCCCCACCCCCCATCGTCAATGCTCTGCTCATGCGATGCGTTGCGTCCTGATTGTACACGCACAGTGGTGGCTGAGGAACCAGTCGCATGACACGCTGTCCATCCCGCCGTTCCTGCTGGCCCTCTCAATCCTGAGCCGATGCCAGGATGATATTGGCAGAGATGCCACTGTCACCTTGCTGGCAGCACTCCAAAGCCTCCCTCACATTCGAGACGTCGACGTGCCTTGGTGAGCTGTGTTGTGTTGTGTTGTGCTGTGTTGTGCTGTGTTGTGCTGTGTTGTGCTGTGTTGTGCTGTGTTGTGCTGTGTTGTGCTGTGTTGTGCTGTGTTGTGCTGTGTTGTGCTGTGTTGTGCTGTGTTGTAGGTGGGTACACGCTTCGCATTGTGCGCTAACTGTGGTCTCTCACACGCATGCACATTGCTTGCACTCTACATATCAGCCTCTTCTCCCTATCACGCGATCTCGCGATTCGCATGTCGAATGGCATGCTGCTGGGGCCACGCGCTTTCATAATCATGGCACAGGTTCTTACCTCTCTGCGCGTGAATGTGTGTGTATGTCTGTGTGTGTATGTTTGTGTGTGTGTGTGTGTGTGCAGTGCGGCGTGTCCGTGTGCCTCCTCGTGCCTGTTGTTTCGATACGCTCCCCCTCCTTCTCTCCAAGTGGTCATGCATGACTCTCACCATCCTGTCCGTGACATGGCGCACCGAATTCGCCAATGCAGGCGCTGGACGCCATCAACCTCCGTCTCATCACACATGCATATCTAGGCCATCTCACCCGCTTTGACCACGCGGCCCTCCACGATCACCTCGATAACATGCAAAGTCAGCGTGTGTTTGCGTGTCTTTGTGTTTTATGTGTGTGTACATGTGTATGTGTATATGTGTGTGTGCACATGTGCGCAGGCATATGGCGACAGACTACGTGCTGCAGACAATAATGCGTCTCCTTACTCCCGCTGCCACGTCACTCATACATCACGCACTGTAGCGCGCCTTAAGGAATGCTATCGGTTCTTTGAGGAGGACGCGCCAGACTATCTGCTGCCAGAACTTCGCCGCTGCTGCGACGCAGGGGTGCGTGTGCATGTGTGTGTGTGTGTGTGTGTGTGTGTGTGTGTGTGTGTGTGTGTGTGTGTGTGTGTGTGTGTGTGTGTGTGTGTGTGTGTGTGTGTGTGTGTGTGTGTGGGGGGCGGGTGAGTGAGAAAACGCACATGCGTGTGCGCGCGCGACGCGCGAGAGACCAACGTGCCTGTGTCTGTCACACACACACAGACTGAGAGAGAGATATA